CTGACCACCTGTGTGGTTGCAGCGATGTAGAGGAGAAGCGGTTCCCCTTTCTTGGGCAACACTAGGGTAGGAGCCGTTGCCAGGAAAGCTTTGAGCTTTTTGAAGGCCTCTTGTGCCTTGGTCATCCAAGTGAACCAGTCGGTCTTCTTTAATAGCTTGTAGAGAGGCACGTCGCGCTCCCCTAGCCGTGAGATGAAGCAGCTGAGGGAAGCTAGGCATCCCATGAGCTTCTGAATGCCTTTCAGGTTTGAGATCACCGTGATTTTCTCTGGGTTGGCTTCAATGCCTCGCTCAGAGACGATAAACCTAAGGAGTTTTCCTTTAGGTACCCCAAAAATGCACTTTTTGGGGTTGAGCTTTGTTCTGAATTCCCGGAGGCAGGCGAACGCGGCCTCCAGGTTGCTAACCAGTTGGCTGGCCTTCTTCGATTTCATGATGATGTCGTTGATGTAGACTTCTATGACTTCCCTGACAAGCTCACCGAGGCACCTGTTCATGCACCTCTGGTAGGTAGCCCTAGCATTCTTGAGTCTGAACGGCATGGTAATGTAGCAATAAGCACCAAAGGGTGTGATGAAAGAGGTTGTGAGCTGGTCGGCCTCTTTCATCGCGATCTGGTGGTACCCTGAGAATGCGTCTAGGAAGCATAAGGTTTCACATCCCGTGGTCGAATCTACCACCTGGTCGATTCGTGGTAACAGGTATGGCACCTTTGGGATGCTTTGTTCAGATTGTTGTAATCTACGCACATCCACAATGTTCTGTTCTTCCAAACTAAGACTAGGTTGGCGATCCACTTAGGGCAGAATACTTCCTTGATGAATCTAGCCACCAAGAGTGGGGCAATTTCCTCCCCGATGGCATTTCGCTTCTCATCATCGGAGTGGTGGAGGCGTTGCTTGACCGAATTGGCGCCAGGCAGGATGTCCAGGCTATGCTCGGTGACTTCTCTCAGGATTCTCGGCATGTCGGAAGGCTTCCATGCAAAGATGTCCCAATTTCTAAGTAAGAAGTCGATGAACACGAGCTCTTGCTCGCCGGAGAGTCTATAGCTGATCCGGGCTGTCTTGCTGGCGTCCTTGGGGTCAATCTACACCACCTTGGTGTCCTCTGTGGGTTTGAAGGTTCCGGATGACTATTTTCTCACGCTTGATTTGGGCATGACCTTGACCATGGTGGCCCGAGCATCCTAGAGCTCAGCTCGCGGCTACCGTGATATTGCAGTTTTCTTCCTTGTAGGCATGCGCCTAGTGCAGATCGTCGTTCACGGCGATGACCCCATGGGACCTAGGAATTTTGAGTTTGAGATATGTGTAGTTTGGGATGGCCATGAACTTGACGTAACATGGTCGGCCTAGGATGGCGTGGTACGCCCCCGGGAGGTCTGTCACCTCGAAGGTGATCATTTCTGCTTAGAAGTTGGCTCCACTTCCAAACATCACGGTTAGATTGACCCTTCCCAGTGGAATGACTTGCATTCCGAACATGACCCCATAAAATGGGGTGTCAGACGGCCATATCGCTGCCCACGATAGGCCCATAGCATCGTACGTCCTTATGTAAAGGAGGTTGAGGCCGCTCCCACCGTCCATGAGCACTCTAGTCAGGCGCGTCTTGCCGACTATCGCACTAGCTACGAGAGGGAACCGTCCTGGCTGGAGAATGTGGTTGGAGTGATTGGTCCTATCAAAGGTGATTGTGGTCTCCGACCATTTCAAGTAGACCGAGGCGGCTTTGGCCTGAGGCGTGGCCACTTTGACCTCCGTGGTTGTGGGCTCCCACCCACACTTCAGCCCGCTGGCGATCGATCCGCTAGAGATCATGAAGCACCCTTTCGGGTCATAGCGGAGGTTGAGTGCAGGTGCCGTCCTGTTGCCGTGAACGCACTCATGATTCCCTAGGTGGATGCGATTCCTGGGTGCCGCTTCGTGGGTGAGCTCGTCGAAGGTTCCGGGTTCCATGTTTCCATGGTGGAAAAGTTGGCCGGGACTGGCGGCGAAAGAGGATACTGGTCCTCCTGCGTGGATGTCCTCTGGGATACGACCGTCAAAGGCCGTTCCAGGAGTAAGTCGGCCACGGGCCATGGAGTCAAGGTCTTCGGGACGGAGAGCCTAGCCAGGGCCAAAGGTGAAGGGGAGCACCGGTCCCCTTGGGTGAGATAATTCTGAGATGCGGTCACTGGGGGCCGTTCTGAGAGTGTATCCGCTGCAGGCCACGGAGTCTAGGTTTTTAGGTCAAAGAGCCTGGCCGAGCCGAGGGCGAAGGAGGGCGCTGGTCCCCCGGGGTGTGCGAGCTCCGGGATGCGTCCATTAGGAGTCGTTCTGGGAGTGAATCCATCGGAGGCCGTGGCGTCCAGGTGTCCTGGATAGAGTGCCCGGACGGGGCCGATGGCATAAGTGGGCGTTGGCCCATTGACGTTGATGAACTCGGAGTTCCCAAGGCGGATGCGGCCGTCGGAGGCCGTTCCATGGGCGAGTCCGCCATAGGTGCAAGGAGCCATCGCTTCCTTTTCAACAAAGAGAGTGTGCGACTGTCCCTCTACCTGGCGCGCTAACTGTCGGTGTTTTGTCAACAAACGAGTGAATTTATACGTGTGTCGTGCTGCTCTAGGAAGACGATGGTAGCATCCAAAGGCATAAGGATTTCATACTGGATCAGGCTAGAGCCCTACGTCCAGTCTCATAGAAAGATTGAGTGCGTGTTCCTCGTTTGAATGCTCTGAAGTTCTTACAACGGGGTGTATAAGCTAAAGAAAAGAGGTAGAAGGCATGAGGAGAACGAAGGCCTGGATGGAGTTTCCCAAGTCTGTTGTCCACCCCTTGGAATGGAGGCCTGGCTCTCCTTATATAGAGTTCGAGGGCCAGATTACATGTGAGAGATGGGTTCTCCCGACTCGAGTGGTCGTGAGCCCGAGGGAGGGAGAAACTACTAATCTTGGCTAGCAAGGAACTTGGCGGATAAGGAGCTTAGCGGGCATGGCATCATGTCTTGTCTTGGCGTCATCGTACGTCCAGGCATGGTCGTGGTGGTGGTCTTTCTCCCCATGCCATGGCGTGGCGCGGCGTGATGCCACAGTGCCGGTCGTGATGGCACTGTGGCGTGGTGGTGGTTGGCCAACTACCCTATGCATCGTGGCCCGTATCATCTTCTCCTGTCTTTCTAGTGGTGTCGTGGCACGATAGTGAGGGAGCAGGTAGCCGCCCTCGAGCTGTTGCCGCCTTTTCGGATTGTGGTGCTGTGGACCGCGACCCCGGCCTACGGGGTCAGGGCTCGTGGTGGTCTGGCTGGCCTCACGAGATCGAGGCTAGGATCGTGCTCCCCATCCCATAGTGGGTGGGGACGTATGCCTGTCTTGTCGGGCTGACTTTGGATGGTGTAGTGCCGTACCGGATGTCACTACATCACGGTGTTGTCTTGTCTGCGTAGGGCTGCGTGGGGATGGCGTCCGCCCCGAGATCCCGTGTACCAAGGGATGGCAATCCCCTCAGTCCTGGTGAAGTGAGTGGAGCGTGCCTATCCCTATCAGAGCAGGTGTACTTGGCATCCGACCTCTCCTCATCCCTTCTCGGGGGTCGAGACAGAAGGGAGGTCGAGCGAGGCTGCGAAGCGTGCAGCGGAAGGTGAGGGGAGAGATCATGGTGGACCGCTCCTGCTGGTGTGTGGCCTAAGGCCCATGAGGCGTAGTTGGGCTTCGGCTATGTAGTTTCTGCTGGCTGAGCCGCCTGAGCAGCTAGCCTATCGGTGTCTTGAGATACCCGGGGTATCACAACCCCGACACCTCCATTGACCAGCGCAAGGATCAACGGCCACTGGATCAAGTGTGAGAAGCGCCAGGAACACCCGAGTGTGATAAAGATGGAAACAAGTAAGAATAGTCCCCATAGGGTAGCCTTGACCACTTGCAACGGATCATAACACACATATATGCACAATTATCCAAAACATGGAATTTTTACAAAACTCATGAGTAGCGGTCAAAAGGAAAAACTATAACTTTCTTATATACATTGGATGATTGCATATGAACACATGTCATGAATTCACAACATGTGGCCACAACTATCCAGTGGAGACAATCCCCATTGAATATTGCACTCTTTTTTTTAGAAAACAATATACAGAGTTAAGGATCCCACAAGCTAGAGTTGTATTCTTTTTTTTTTATAATATTTGAATGTTAGAATTATATTGTTTCCTGATGATTAATATAGTTTTTGAGTCTAATATACAGCCTGTTCGGGAGGCCGTATCGTATCGTGGATTATTTACTGCTGGCTGGTTTGGTGTGAGAGAAAAACATTGTTTCCGGCTAGAAATTTACGATCGTTTACGAGCAAGCGAACAGGCTGATAGTCGGTGCTGTAATTACTTTCCCTCCAAATGGCCAAATCTCATAAATGCTTAACTGGCCTTTTAATGCAAAATGTTTTAGCCAGCTTCTTTCCCATCGGATCCTGAAGAAAAAAAAAGAAAGAAACAGAATTTTTTATGTAAATCCTTTCTGCGACTTCTGCCCCATCAGCAAGTGTGCATACGACAACGAAATCCTCGTCTCATCGAGTGCATGTCTCATGAAATGCATCGATATTTAGTTGGGACACGATTGCCCATCAAAGTCAAATACTGAGACGGACTTAATTAGCAGCACGTCTTAAGTCTTATCATTGATGTAAACACAATTTGTGGATCGTTTGCTTGTTCCATTCGTCTCATCGTGTTCGGTCTTCCTTCCTTGAGAAGCCACCGAGCCATTCCGGAACGAAGCCCAACCGCCGGGGCTCATCCGTCGTGTGGGCCCCACTCGACCGAGACCCCCCGAGAGAAGGCTTTGAATGCACTGCGACGCTTGGACTCGAGTCGGGAGTCTCCGCCCCACCGCTCCACTACCACTGCACCACAAGAGCTCATGGCGGTCGGGGTAGCCTCACCGCGGTAGGGCATGACTCGGTAGCGGATCGAGGGAGGAGGGAGAGGCGCCGGCAGAGGAAGGGGTGCTGGGAATGCGGGTAGATGGGAACAGGGTGGCGGCGCCAGTGGATGGGGCACCGGCGGCGGCGGAGATAGCCGTGGAAGGGGATGAGGCGGAGGTGGAAGCGGAGGAGGAGGAGGAGGAGGACGACGACGACGACAAGGAGGAGGAGGAGGAGGAGAAGTGGCTAGGACAATACTCCTCTACGCAGAGCATACTGCTCGTCGGCGACGGGGACTTCTCGTTCTCGCTGGCGCTGGCCACAGGGTTTGGCTCCGGGGCCAACCTCGTCGCCACGTCGCTCGACACCTACGCTTGTGCATTGGATACGGGAACACATGGGGCTGATTCGACGATTCGGATGTGGCATTGGTTATATGTGTATTTGATGCATTTGCTCCATTGAGATCAAGGTTAACCTGAAATGGACTTCTTGCTATTGGGAAAGATTTTTAAATTAATTTTAAAATTTTAAAATCTTTAGTTAACTTCTCTAATCAGTGATGGTGCTCCAGACTTCTGCGTCATACATTGTTTCATACTACTACTACGTACTCCAGCCAATGTAGGTTGTTTAATTGTTTTAGTTTATCCTAAGTCAAACTTTTCTAATTTTGACTTTTTTCTAGTTTATAGAAAAATACATCAATATCTACGCTATCAAATTAGTTTAATTAAATCCACCATGAAATAGGTCTTGACGGTGCATTTATTTGATATTACAACAACAACAACAACAAAGCCTTCAAGTCTCAAACAAGTTGGGGTAGGCTAGAGTTGAAACCAGCAGAAGCAATCAAGGTTCAGGCACGTGAATAACTGTTTTCCAAGCACTCCTATCTAAGGCTAAGTCTTTGGGTATATTCCATCCTTTCAAGTCTCTTTTTATTGTCTCTACCCAAGTCAACTTCGCTCTTCCTCTGCCTCTCTTCATGTTACTATCCTGGCTTAGGATTTCACTACGTACCGGTGCCTCTGGAGGTCTCCGTTGGACATGTCCAAACCATCTCAACTGGTGTTGGACAAGTTTTTCTTCAATTGGTGCTACCCCTAATCTATCACGTATATCATCGTTCCGAACTCGATCATTCATTTGATATTATAGATGTTAATATATTTTTATATACACTTGAGCAAAATAAAGAAGTTTGATTTATGACAAAACTAAGACCTACTGCTAGGAACTTGAGGCTGTAGTGGTTTGTCCGGACGAGGAAGTGGCGCCCCCACAAGTACGGCCGCCAGTGTCGTACCGCCTGCACCAACCCAATGAGCTCCCGCTCGTAAGCAGCTAGCTTAAGGTGGCGTGCGACGAACGGTCTGCTGAAGAAGGCGAGAGGGCCGACGCTCTGGTGAAGGACGGCACTGAACCCTACACCCGAGGCGTCGCTGTCCACCGTGAAGATTTTGTCGAAGTCGGGCATTTGAAGGACTGGCCCCGTGGTGAGGGCGCCCTTGAGCGCTAGGAAGGCCGCCTCGGACTCGGTGTCCCAAGCGAACGCGTCTCGCCGCAAGAGACACGTCAGTGGCGCCGTGATGACGCCGAAGTCCAGGATGAACTTCTGGTAGTAGCCGGCGAGCCCTAAGAAGTCGCATAAGGCATGGGCAGAGCGCGGAACGGGCCACGAGGCGACCGCCGCGATCTTGTCGGCATCCATGGCGACGCCCTCGTCGGATATCACATGGCCGAGGTAGGCCACAGAGGAGGCCCCAAACGAGCATTTGGAACGCTTGAGGTGGAGACGGTGGGCGCGGAGAGTGTTGAGGACAACGCCGACGTGCTGCAGGTGCTCCGCCCACGAGGAGCTATATATCAGGATATCATCGAAAAACACCAGCACAAACCTGCGGAGATATGGGCAGAGGACATCATTCATCAATGCCTGGAAAGTGGCCGGAGCGTTGGAGAGGCCAAAAGGCATCACCAAGAACTCATAGTGCCCCTAGTGTGTCCGAAATGCCATCTTGCTAATGTCTTCCGGATGCATCCGCACCTGGTGATAGCCGGAACGAAGGTCTAGCTTCGTGAAGAAGCGGGCGCCGTGGAACTCATCAAGGAGCTCGTCCACCACCGGGATGGGAAACCTGTCCTTGGAGGTTTGCGAGTTGAGGGTGCGGTAGTCGATGCAAAACCTCCAGGAGTTGTCTGCCTTGCGAACAAGGAGAACCGGGGCAGAGAACAGAGATGTGCTGGGGCGTATGATCCCCTGCTCTAGCATGGCGGCACATTGCTGCTCCAACTCGTCCTTCTGTAGCTGTGGATAGCGATAGGGACGGACGGCGACTGGAGCGGTGCCCGGCAGGAGGTGAATCCGGTGGTCGTAGGGACATGCTAACGGAAGGTCGCGTGGCTCATCGAAGACCGGGCCGAACTGAAGGAGTAGCCGGTCCAGGAGGGTTTGTCTGGAGGAGTCGCTTACCGCCCGAACCGCAGGCTGCCTGGTGGTGTCGTCGTAGGGGAAGCCCAGCCCCGTCCATAGGACGCGGCGACCAGCGCGCGTGAAGGCCATGGAGAGGCTCTCGCAGTCCCATAGCACGGGCCCGAGAGATCGCAGGAAGTCGAACCCGAGGATGAGGTCGAACTCGCCGAGACTGATGCCGAAACAGTTGATAGAGAACTCCTCGTCGCCGATGGTCAAGGCGATGTCGTGGGCGAGCCCATGGCACGGCACGCGGTCACCGTTGGCCACGAGCACCCATAGCGTGGGATGCGGAACGGAGTGAAGCTGCAGACGACTGAAGAGATCGGCGTTGATGAAGTTGGTCGTCGAGCCAGAGTCAAGGAGAGCCACCAGACGGTGACCCCGCACTGTCATGGGCAGAAGCATGGCGTTCTTTGGACGCACCCCAGCGAGCGCGTACAGGGACATTGTGGGTGGCGCTCCGGCGGTGGCCGATGCGTCCCCCGTGGGCTCCAGGATGGGAGGGGCGACCGCGGGCTTCTCCTGGAATGCGACTGCAGTGACAACCTCGGCAGGGATCTCGGCATCGATGTAGTCGTCGTTCTCTAAGTAGAACAGGCACCGACAGACATGGCCGCGGACGTAGGGTTTGTCACAGTTGAAGCAGAGGCCTTGGCGCCGTCGTTCAGGTTGCTCCGCTGGTGACAAACGGCGGAACCACGGCTGCCCGGGGGGTGTCGTCGGGAACGGTTGTGGTACAGTCCCCAAGGATGGGGCTACAGCCGATCGAGGAGCTGGAGGGAGGCCAGGACGCGCCGGTGGACGAACGCTGTGCTGCTGTTGCGGCTGTTGTGCAGGCAGGAAGGTAGCCGCGCGACGTTCGTAAGCCCACGTGTAGTACATGGCGGATTGCAGGTCCTATGGATGGTGCATCTCGACGTCCACCTTGATATGTTAAGGAAGACCGCTGATGTAGAGCTGCGCCTTTTGACGAGGGTTGAGGTCGCGCTCATGGCAGAGGATGGCGTTGTAGCGATCCGAGTAGTCCTAGGCCGTGGAGGTGAAGGGCAGTCGAGCAAGCTCCGCCAAACGTGTGCCCCGCGTCAGGGGTCTGAAATGAAGCTGGCACAACTCGCGGAAGCGCTCCCAGGCTAGCATTGAAAGCATCTAGGCCCCTAATTGGGTTTCGGTAATTAATGACAATATAAGATTATTGTGACTAACGTGTGTTTTGCAGAGGCAATTAAGTTAGGTCACCGTAATGGAGATTGATTGGGCAATCAAGGTTGTCATGCCCCTACGATGGAAATCATTTCGGTTTTTAATGGACGGACGACAAGGTTAAGGATGACTAGTTCTAAGTGTCGATTAGAGTTGGAGAGACACTTAGAGTAGTTTAGGACTTTGTTTTTCCTTTGGCCATACTATTAAGGGGTGTATGGACGGGTAGCTTGACCTAGGTGAGTCTAGTGAGTTAGGTGTGGTGCACCCTTGTTGAAACTAGCACTAGGTAGCTCCTAAATATGCCTAAGATCCTTTGGAGCAAACTTCATTCACAAATGATCGAGAGTTGGAAGTGAATGGAGGGTCAAAGATTGACCGGACGCTGGCTCTGGTGCGACCGGACGCTAGCCGCAGGGTTCGGTCAGTTCATTTGACTGAGGTGAACTAGTCCGGTTTGACCGGACGCTGGAGAGGTCAAGTGACCACACACTGAGGGCCAGTGTCCGGTCGACTCAAGTAAGGTTCCAGAGAAGAGAATCTGCGACCGGACACGTCCAGTCAGTGCTGACCGTACCCTAGGGGTTCAGCGTCCGGTCGAGTATAGTAAGGTTCCAGTGAGGGATATTTGCGACCGAACGCGTCCGGTCAGTGGTGACCGGACCCTGCCAGCGTTCGGTCAACTCTTAAACACTGGTGTGCGGGTTGAACTGACCGGAGCGTCCGATCAGAATGACCGGAGCGTCCGGTCACCCCGCAGAGGCACATAACGGTTTGTTTTTCTGGCTGTCTTATAAATAGTAGCTCCACTCGTGTGTAGAGTTACTTTTGCTCATTTCAACAGCTGAAACACACCTTAGAGAGTGCCAAGAAGAGCAAGGTCCTAGTGAGGTGATTGAGATTTGAGAATCCAAAGAGAGCCCTCATTAGTGAAGATCAAGAGTAGCAAAGTGTGCATCCACCCTTCTCCCTAGGCTTGTTGTGGTCAAGTGAGAGTTTGTGCTTGTTACTCTTGGTGATCGCCATCACCTAGACGGCTTGGTGGTGATTGGGAGCTTGGTGATCATCCAGAGAGCTTGTGGATGACCCAACTCAAGTTGTGAGCGGTTGTGGATGATTCACCGCGACGGAGTGTCAAAGAATCAACCCATAGAGAGCACTTGATCCTTACACGGATCAAGGGGGAGCTACACCCTTGCGTGGGTGCTCCAACAAGGACTAGTGGGGAGTGGCGACTCTCCAATATCTCGGCAAAACATCGTCGCGTTTCCTCTCCTCTTTACTTTGAGCATTTCAATTCTTGTCATTTACATTCCTAGAATTGCCATGCTAGAGTAGGATTAGAACCAGGTTGCTAAACTTTTGTGCGTTAGATAAATAGAAACACTTCTCTAGGCACAAGGGGTTAATTGGGCCAACCATAGGACTTGTTTGTTGCGAAGAAATTTAGAATTAGCCCAATTCACCTCCCCCCCGCTTAGAGCAAGATGTCTCACGGGGATGGTCCTCCTCCTATGTTCGAGGGGGATGATTTTCCATATTGGAAAATTTGCATGGAGGCATACCTAGAAGCTCTAGATGTTGGAATACTTAGAACCGCCTCACATGGGTTCCCAAAACCTAGGAATCCCGCACAACTTCAAGGCGATAAAGTGAACTATGAAAATGGAATTTAAAGGCTCGCAACACCATCTTTAGAGGCATTTGCAAAGATGTGTTCAACCGCGTAAGGAACCACAAAGACGCCCATGCACTATGGTCAGACGTTTGTACGCTCCATGAG